CAGTTTACAAAGTCCTCAGAGGCCAAGGAGGAGCCTTAACAAGCACTCGGTTTGACACATTTATCTTCAGGCTAAGTTACTTCATTCAAGGTTTTAATGTTTAAATAAACTGCTGCCCAAATCAATAATCTACAAAATCAGTCACTCGGGGCAAGGTCTTCAATTCTGCTGCCCCATTTTAAGCTGCTCCATATGGTGAGCAGAGGCATTTTTATAATTTTCAGTCAGCTCTAAGCAGCCCTTAAAGTGTAGTAGTGAATTTTCAGTAAGAAAAACACAACCAATCTATGACCATCAAGTCATAATAACAATGCTTATTAATACATAGTAATGCATAGCATAACTGAGGGGCTAACCCTGGTTGGCTGCAGTGACTCCACAGTGACTCCATGATAACCACCATGGACCCATTTCTTTAACATAAACAGAATAATAGAACCTTTGCTTCACAGGGCCATTCTTGTATCTGATACAGGATACAGGAAAGTGACTTGATCCTATTTATCACAGATTTTCAGGAAACATTTAAATCACTGTTCTCTGAAGGAAGTAGGATTCCTAAGGTCCTGGAAGTTGATTTTGCTTCTGTCTAAATTTGTCCCTTATCACCTTGGTGGAGAGGCTGCTCTGTCTTCCAATGAAACCACAAGTTCCAGAGGTTTAAGGACAGGCTGAGCCTGGTGATCTCGAAGAAAAGGAGACCAATGGAGGGAGGGGAGAGAGGTAGAGTCAGAAAGAGGGGAGGCTGCCCACCTATAAGATGTAGGCCACAGTATGACTTACACTATTGCCATGGGAACCACAGAATGGTGCTGAGCAGAGTGATGGCTTATTTATCTTTGAGAAGGGCACTCTGGTCAGGAAAAGATCAATGGGGCTCCCAGGGAGGAAGTGACCGTAACATGGCAGGTAGAATTGTTTGTGTTGCATAGTCCCAGAAACGTCGGGTACACAACAGGTGTGGTGAGCACAGGGAAATTCAGGTTTTGTTTCTCTGGAGATGTCCCCTTCCTCCCTCCCTTTTCCCCTTCCCTCCCTTCACCTCTCTGCCTGTTCATGTGCTGTTGTAAGCAATGCATGGCCCCCCAAACCCTTCATTAGGGCCTCAGCCAGACCAAAGCAACACTTCCACCAATGTCCTTTGGTGAACCAGTCAATCTGTTAGGTTATTCCCACGGATGAAGGGTTACTTGCCAATCTCAGGTGAGAGGGTCTGACAATCCTCCCCAGCCCTTCCTTCTGAGAAGGAATGCCAACCGGCCCTATCAAGTGTTCACAACTGCTCTGCTGAAGGTGGCAATAGCTGTTCGACTCAGAAGCCAGCATGTCGCATATCATGTGTTGGTCATCACTGCTTTGACCACCATAACAGCAGATGTCGACAGCTTTAACGATCATTTCTCCTGCGAAACTTAAAGTAGTTAGCATCTGAGCCTTTATGCACCATGCCAAACTGTTCCTAGTCTATGCTTTCCTATTCCTCACACTGGAGAGGAAACAGCTCACCCAGGCAGTAAAATGGGGTCCCCAGGGAGTGATGAGGGCCTGATGTGATGGCAGGGTGAGTCACAGTCACAGCATGTAGTTCCAACCAGTGCTATTGTAGATACAGGAATGCCAATGTCTGTCCCAGTGAGGCAGACCTCAGTGGCATGAGCCTTGATCGGCGTCTGGGTACAATGGACCTCACTAAAGAGAAAATGGAGTGTCCATACACAATTAGCCTTCCATTAGTAGTCAACCCAGGGGCACAACAGCCCTCTCATGCAAACGGCCTCTCAGTATTTGGCATCCTTCCTACACTCACAGACTGCTTGAAGTCCACACCAGCAGAGCAGAAATCCAGGAAAAACTAACTTTGAAGAAAATTTTGAGAAGTTACTTTTCCCTGGGAACTTTGAAATACATCAGATAGAAGATCTTCCAGTATTAGGAAAGCATTGAGCTCCTTTTGGAAGGACATCAAGAGAAAGAAAGTACTAGAAGCAGGCAAAATATCTATGGCTCCCAAAAGAGGAAGCACAGAGAAATCAGAGCCAATACCTCCCTGTGAAAGTTACTGCAAGGAAAATAATTCAGAAACTTTCCAGCGTAGCCTGAGAGGTCGTTATGTTCCTAAAACTAAATGAGAGTCACAAAGAGGGAAGGAGCCTGTGCTGAGGCTTGGGTGCCACAGCCAACTGCAAACGGCACCCAAGGCATGAAATGCTCTATGCCAAGAAACCCTCAGCTCCACCTCGCTTTCCATACCATGGCAATGGAAGGCATTGGCAAGGAGAACTGGGGCAAGGAGTGTTTTGGAAGTTCGTGGGTAGCCACATTCCATCTGATATTTGATGTTTGTCCTTGTTTTCTGCCACTAAAGTAGAATTTCACAGTCGAGGTAAACTGTAATCAGGAGATCTTAACCTGCTCACAGTTCTGGAGTTTGGGAAGTCCCAGAGCATGGTGCTTGCTTCTGGAGAAGGCTCAAGGATGTGACCTAATGTGGCAGACAGGCGAACCTGCACACATAGAATGGAAGGAAATCAGGTAGAACACATGCTATCTGTCATGCATTCTATCCAGGTAATAATAGCACTAATCATCTTAGCCCTCCTGTGTGTATTGACATGTGTATGCAGGTGCCCAAAGAGGCCAGAAGGGGGTGCTATATCCCTTGGGGCTAGAGTTGCAGGTGTTTGTGAGCCACCTGATATGGGACCCTGAGATCAAAACTCCAGTTTTCTGATAGAACAGTGCCTGATTTTAACTGCTGAGCCATCTCTCCAGTCCCTCATCTCATCTCTTTACACTATCAGAAATGACATCTCATCAGGGATTTGAGCCAATTAGATCACACCATTGCTCATCTCCATTTTTACACCTTGTATTCCTGACTACCTGCCAAATGTTTCTTCAAAAAAATCCAGCTAGACCTGAGTTTTTATGATGTCATAGTATCAAGACCTCTACCTCCAATACATGCATGCAAGATACACACAAACAGGCATTTTCCCCAGACTGATAAATCCAATGTATCATGTGTGGGTCCTTGTCAGACCCTCTCACCTCTCCTGATAAAGGAGCTCAGTAACTCAGGCCCAACTACACCCCAGTCCAGTGTCTGAAACAGCACCTCCACAGGAACTACAGTACTACTTTAACACTTGTTAGAAACATGAATTAGATCCCCTCCCCTCCACCTCCTCTTTGCCCCGCCGCCCCCCTTCCCTTCCTCCTCTGTTTCTGTTCAGAAAGGGGCAGGCCTCCCACAGGTATCAACACAGCATGACATTATCAAGTTGCAGTAAGACCTTCCCTTGTATTAAGACTGGGCAAGGCAATCCAGTATGAGGACTAGGTTCCCAAGAGCCAGCCAAAGCATTAAGGACAGCCCTGCTCCCACTGTTAGGAGTCCCACAAGTAGACCAAGCTATTCAACTGTCACATGGATGTAGAGGACCTAGATCGGTCCCATGCAGGCTCCCCAGTTGTTGGTTCAGACTCTGTGAGCTCCTATGAGCCCAGGTTAGTAAATAATTAAATAAAAAAAGAAAAAATCCAGAGAGCATTAAGATTTGTTTTATGGCCTTTTATGTGGGCAAGTTTTGAAATATTTCTTGAACATGTAGATATATGTTTCTATAGCAGATAGACGTAATGTTCTACATGCAACAATTAAGACAAGAGTTTAATGCTTTTGGCAATTATTTTACGTCTGTACTAATATTTTACATGCTTGCTTTATTAGTTACCAAGAGAGCTTTTAAAGGCATCCACGATGAAAACCTGCCAAATGTACAACAGAACGAGAGAATCCTGATGTAGATGCTGTTTTGCTTTGGTTTGGCTTTGCCTTATTTGTTTTGTTTGTTTAGACTCTTTTTGAAGAAAGAAAGAGAAATAACATGAAATTAGGTGAGGAAGTAGGGATGATCTGGAGAGAGTAGGGGAGGGGGAACAAAATGATCAAGATATAGTATATGGAAAAAAATTAAAAAGAAAAAAAGAGAACGAAAAACATTCCAGTTCTGAAAAGAAAAACTCTGAATATTGGAAGAACCAAGAGCAACCCCACTGGATACCAGCCTCACATTGAATACCTGTATCTTTCTGTTGCTGCCTTGACCCAAAGAAAGCTGGAAGAAATAATAATAATAATAATAATAATAATAATAATAATAAATAATAATAATAATATAAAGGTGAGAAAGCAAAGGTGATGGATGAGCCACAGAGAAGACTCGGAGTTGTCTGCTGAGCATGCTGCTCCAAAGCCAAAGTCCAATCCAAAAAGCTCCTGCAAAGGAGAAGAGAGGAGAACAAGGGTGCTGGAGAAGATGGGGAGAACCCTGCTGAAGACGTTCAGCACAGACAACAGAAGGCGCTGTGGGTGCCAGTGTAATGAATTTGGATATCTAAACATCTGGTGACTGCACAGTTTGAAATATAATTTTCATAAAATGCATAAAAAACATGAAATACGGGGTCTACCTCAGATACATAGATTCAGACACCTTCAAGAGACCCAGGTTTTGTTTGAAGAAACCCAGCCTCTGAACCATTACTACCCATTCTAATCTCAGGGAACTACTGCTGTCATCACAGAAGTGGAGAGTGGAAGGCCGAGGTTCTCAATCATGCTTGCAATCAGTATGCCCTGGAGAATGTTGAAGATGTTTTATGCTACCTTTTGTGTTTCTACTTTGCTTTTATTTCATTTTATAAAGATGTATTTAACGCTTATGTGTATGAGTGTTTTGCATGCATGCATGTGTGTGCACTATGTATGTGCCTGGTGCCTGCAGAGGTCAGAAGAGGATGTAGGATCACCTTGGAACTGTCATTATAGGTAGTTTGAGAACCACCATGTGGGTTCTGGGAATCGAAGCTGTGTCCTGTACAAGAGCAGCCAGGCACTTTTAATCAATGAACCATTTCTCCAGCCCTTTATTTTGCTTTATTCTTAGAATCAATCTCATTATCAAATACGTCATCACTTTGGCCTTCTTGAATATCATATTCCTTCTTACAGTTATCAAGACTCATGCTGAGCAATGAGCTCTGGGTTGCAGGAGGATTCATTTTTATGCCCATCTTTTATGTTTTTTTCTACTCTTTCAACAAACATGAACACAAGCACTATATTTTGTGTTTTCTTGCCCCAGGAAAAAAAGAAGTTTGAGTCCCTTAGGAGAAGGATGAGGGTGGTTCTGGGGAAATTGAGTCTGAAAAGACTTTCTTAAGCCAAGAGGGAATCTATGAGGCAAAGAGAGGCACCCTCTTAAGAAAAATATGGACATTGAAGAAGTGAGTGGGGTAAGACAGAAAGCCAAGCTGTGAGGAAGGGGAGGTCTGCATGATGCCTAGGAAACATGAGTGCAGGCTTTCGGTGTAACTTGGTTGGTAGAATGAATGCTTCCTTAGTATGCATGAAGTCCCTTGGTTACATTTAGGCATGGTGGCCAATGACATTTAGGCTATCATTCTAGGAGTAGAGTCAGGAAGATCAAGAGTCCCAGTCACCCTCAACCACATAGCAAGTTTGAGGCTAGCCTAAATCTACCTAAGAGCCTGTTTCAATGAAAAGAAATACAAAACCAGGGTTATAGGCTTGGCCTACCTGAGAGAAATCTCTAATGCCACAGAGCCCTGGATCACACCTGAAGATGCTCAACAACAAAAGATGCCATAAAAACACACTCAAAAAAGCTACACCTGTGACTCACCATGTTTCCTGCATAGTTGGATCCCCTAGGGAAATTTACCTACTCAGATGCCCGCCTTTCACCTTCCAAAATATCTGATTCAACTGGACTGTGTGTGACTCAGCATGTAGCAGTTTCAAAACCACCCCAGGTGAATCTACTCTGTAAAGAAGTTTGGAAACACCTACTACATGTGTGGAATAGACAGCCCAGAAGAGCACGACCAAGCAAACGAAGAACAGCAGTAAGCACTGGAATACAGCCGTCCTGAAAGGAAGAAGATCTTGTGCCTCCAGAGTAAAGTGGCTCACTGATATCTAGAAAAAAAAACAGCTTTGGAGAGACCCACTCTCACATGTAGCCCTATAAATCATTGAAGTTCAAGAGCAAAGAACACACCTCAGGAAGATCATGACAGGAGACTATACCACCATGAAGAAAACACATGAAATCCCCACTCGCTGTCATACCCTATGAGATACCTGGACTCCAATTCATGGAGACAGGACCGAGAGAAAGGGCAGTGGGGTGTTTGTGTTCAGTCTGTGTGCGAGACAGACAGACAGATGTCGGCAGATGTACGGTGGCGATAAGTGCATGGCATTGACTCAACTTTTCAAGATAAATAAAATGCTGTATTTCATGTTATGTAGGTTTTGCCACATTTTGAATACAATTTTTCAAGAATGTCATGGGGGAGCTTAAAACTCAAAAGGCATTGTTGGTCAGTGGCCCAACCGTTAGACCTATAGGTTCTCGAATGTGACTGTGTATGAGAAACTCGGGCAAGCTTTGAGGAGCACCACACAGCCCTGTTGCTATGCCCAGATGAACTGATTTAATTGGCCTAGAGTGGAGCCCCCAAAAGTGTTTTTAAGTGGTTCCCCAGGTGATTCTAATGTGTAGCTATGGTTGAGAATTGCTGTACTAAAGCACAGTTAATTAAATAATTATCACTAATAACAATTATTGAAAGAAGATGAAAATGAAAATAATAATTTAATAACAATCTGGCTCTAAACTTCCATATTGTATTTACTTCTCAACCAAATGAAAAACAATTAAGTTAGTGTATTATTGAGCATCCTATATAGCTCTGTCTGGGGAGATTCTCAGAGCCCCACAGAACAATCCTAAGAGTGTGGATACTCACATTATTCACTGGTGGGATTCCTAGATGTCTGTTCCTGGGTGAGGTTCGGAGACCAGCTGAATCAGGAAACAGAGGTCTCCTGGGGTCATCTGGGTTTCCACTTGTGTTAGGCTAGATATGTGATGTAAGTAATGTCCCTATGTGTGCACTGTGCACTACTGTGTTACCCCTGTGACCAAGTGTCCTCATTAATTTTGGGGTTTGTTTCAACTTAACACACACTAGAATCATCTGGGAAGAAGGAACCTCAACAAAGAAAACACCTCAAAAACTCTCCTAAGGGCCAATCTGAAGGAGGCATTGTCTTGATTCATGATTGATGTGGGAGGGTCCAGCCCACTGTGGGCCGGTACTACACCTGGGTACCATAAAAAAGCAGCTGAGCAAGCCATGGAAACAGCATTCCTTCATGGCCTCTGGTGAAGTTCCTGCCTCTAGGTTCCTGATATGACTTCCTTTGATGGTAGCCTGTAGTCTGTAAGATATAATAAACCTCTGCCTCCCCACACAGCTTTTGGTCAGTGTTATAATCACAACATAAAAGCAAATCAGAACACCATGTAAAGAAAGTACAAAACAGAACACAGATGTGTTACTAGGGGCTCATGAATTTTTCTTATTTTTTAAAAAGTTACGTTCATTTGTGTGGTGGGAAGGGATATGAGCCACTGAGCATGTGTGTGACGGTCAGAGGACAACTTGTGGGAGTCAGTTCTTTCCTTCCAGCATGTGTGTCCTGGGGATCGAACTTGGGTCACTGGGCTTGATAGTAAGTGCCCTTATCCACTGAGATTCAAACTTACTTCATAAAAAATAAATGGACTTGAGTAAGATGCTTCTGGCCAATGGGAGCTATTATGTTGAGCATATTTAAGGTAGGCAAGGGTAAGCTGTAAAGTTCTGCAAATGGGATCCATTAAGTGTAGTTTAGAATCACGATATCTCTCCTCATAAGTTGAGGAGCACATGGGTGTGACAAAATAAAGTCAAAAGTAGATGGACTGGTGATATTATAAAATAAAGTTGAGATTAAAGCTAAATGAGTATGGACTCCTAAATATTTACTTTATAATTAATAAAGTTAAAATAATCCTGAGCTCAGAAAATAGTAGAAAATTAGATACTATGATTTTCTTCATTTGCCACTATCATTTCATTCTAAATTAAAAATACATATATTGTGACTGTTAATTATGTGTATATGTCTGTGTTCACATATGCAAAAGAGTGTAATACCCACTGAGGCCACAAGAGGGTGACCAATCCCCTGAGGTGGCATTACAGATAGGTGTGAGACATCTAATGTGGGTACTGGGAATAGAACTTGGGTCTTCTGAAAGAGCAGCAAGTACTCTTAACTGTTGAGGCAGCTCTCCAGCCCACTTCCTATCATCTTTAACTCTTTTAAAGGAAACAGCTGTGTTTTATTTATTGTGTATTCACAGTGCCACTCTGCCTGCCAAAAAAATCACCCTCATTTATAAATGTTGGCTGACTGAATGTGTTGACATGATCCAGGGACCCTGATGGAGTTAAGTGATTCATTGCCATAGCCCTCTATTTCCTCACATATGACATCAGGTGTCATGCCTCTCCCACTTCTATATATGATTTTTTTTTTAAAAAAATCTTCCTTTTTAAAAGTGTTAAGTTGCCTATATTATGCTTCAGAATTAGTGTTAAGCTTATAGGATATACAAGCACGAGGGATCTCCCATATGGAATACTTTCTACCAAGAAACTACTTATTAATTCAAAATACTGTAAGGCCTATATTCAGCAAAAGTATAAGCTAGTGTCACTGGAAGAACATTTATGGCACATGGGATCACACCCTGACAGCTCCTTTCAGTCCCATCTCTTGCACAGTGACGACACTATCTTGAAATGGTAAGTGAGGCTGAAAGTTCTCAGAGATCAGTGGTACTGTCCGAGCAAAATGGTGTAGATAGCCATGATTAAATAATGACACCCCCTTTCCACATCCAGGATGGAACTGTTAAAATGTCATTCTTTCTCTTTAAATTTTCCTGGTGGTTTGAAAAACATGTTTTCTTTTTCTCTTTCTTTCTTCCATTATTTTGAGACAGTGTCTCAGTAGTCCAGCTAGTCTCAAATTCTCAATTTGATATATAGATGAGGTTGGCCTTGAACTCCTGCCTCCACTTCTCAAATGTTGAAATGATAGATGTCCACTGTGGTGGTTTGAAAGAAAATGGCCCCCAAAAAGGAGTGGCACTATTAGAAGATGTGGCTTTGTTGGAGGAAATATGTCACTGTGGGGGTGGGCTTTGAGGTCTCATATATGCTCAAGCCACATCCAGTAAGACAAACCACTTCCTGTTGCCCGTAAGTCAAGATATAGGACACTCAGCTACTTCTCTAGCACCGTGTCTGCCTGCATACCACCATGTCCCATTATGATGATAATGGACTTACTCTGAAAATGTAAGCCACCCCCAATGAAATCTTTTTCCTTTATAAGAGTAGCTGTGGTCCTGGTGTCTCTTTACAGCAATAGAAACCCTAACTAAGACAGAAGATAATACCAGGGGCTGGGATATTGCTGGGACCATGCTTTTGTTTGGAGGAATTCAGACTTTAGGAGTTTGGGTTAGAAAAGCAGAGGAATGCTTTAAACACTGCTTAAAGAGCCATACCAGTAGGAGCATGGACGACAATCATGCTAAGAGTGATTTGAGCTGTGGGGGGCTGGCTCAAGAGGTTTCAGAGAAGAAGAAGTTTAGTTTGTTGCCTAGAAATCATTCTTGTAATATTTTGGTGAAGACATCCACCACCATACACAGTATCCTTGAAAAGGATATTGTGTGTGTGTGTGTGTGTGTGTGTGTGTGTGTGTGTGTGTGTGTATGCATTCCAGTGCACAGATGTATGTGGCACTCTGACAAGCTTTGTTACACGAGTTCTGGGGGGTCTGAACCCAGGTCCTCACACTTCTGAGGCTAATGCTCTGCTAACTGAACCATTTTGCCATCCCTCCCAAAGAATGTTTTAACAATGTACCACAGACCTAAGTCAAGTGTCTCAGGAGCATAAGGCACAGTCATAACTGATGCCGTCTAGTGTGCTACCACTCCTGCAGGACCACTGCCCACAGGACACGGTGGGAAAGCACATGTGGATGCACGAGTAACTGACTGACGTGCACACCCATTTCCCCTCTCACCCTTCGAGCTCCATGTGTCTCCAAATGAAATCAAACAAACAAAAGAAAAAAGAAAAATATCACCCTAACAAGGTCTTATTTAATGCTCCAGACTGC